TCTGTTCCTGTTGCCCTATCCTTCCTGCCAACACTGATATTGCGAAAATGCTGCCTGTACTGCGGCACTGCTCGAAAAAGCACTGCTCCCTTCTGGTTGACCTGGTGTTGAGAGTGTCGCCAGTTCATTTCTCCCCCCATTCTGAGTAAGAGCCACAACTTTGCCCAAGTACCTGTTGCAACCAGTCTGCCTTTTGCTTGAACAGCTACTTGTCTTGACTATTTGCGAGGTTACATTTCCAACAGCCTCACCTTTGGCAGTTCCCAAAGAAGCCTCTAAGTTTCTGTGAAAATTTACTGATGAGTTTGCCAAGCCTTCGGTCACATTCTTCTGCATTTCTGTTTCCACTTCTGCCTACCCTTGCTACGGCTGGGGTTGAAATCTCTGCCAAACCTCACAGGTTAGCACGTTTCCCTCTTTTTACCATCCCAGTTAGAAAATGTTGTCGCATGGCAACATGATGCAAAGCATTCATTCAGTCACGCTGAACAGCCCAGCTAAAGGCCATTTCAGCTCCATACAGATTCATTTCTGTGGAGAAGCAAAGCGAGAAAGAAAGGGAAAACATTCACAGATCCCAGAACCCTTCTTTATTTGGAAGAATGGCTTTTAAATGAAGTCAAGCAGTATCTTGTTTTATCATTCATTTATTTAGCAAAGAAAGGAATGAATTCAAATACCCCACACAACGAACATCTATCTATTCCCTGATATCAAGATGCAGATTTGCTTGAGAACAATTTTAAATGAATGTTTTCTTACTATTGAAGTCATCTTGTACTGTGCATGGATTTGTGCAGAAGCATAATATTTTGGGCTCAATCCTGTAAACACATTAAAATAAGCAACTTGTTACATCCAGACCACTGAACTCAGTGTGGTTACTTGTGTCATGAGTAAAATCATACTGAAGAGCTTACTTTTGCCAGTCTAAATTTAGGCATCCACATGACGATGAAAATTAGAAGTGCAGCTCTCTAGGCTCACTATTTTGTTAGGGAAGACACAAGCTCTCACCAGGATGTAACTTTGCCCATCTAAGGATGTTGCCTCAGACAAGACAGAGGATGTTGGTGGCAGCTTCAATAAGAAATTGGTCAGATGCCTCAAGGAGAGTGAGACAAGCTTGGACCAAATTGTTTACAGAATTGATCTCATACAGCAAAGCCATTATGCATACAATTAACTCTAGGAATGTGCTTATGTTGCGCTGATTTTAATAAAACTGGTCCCACATTTAAAGAAGTGGATATATTCATTCTATAATTATGAGGAAAAAATATTGAAGCATTTATTCCCGTTAACATTTTTGTTGCATCTGGGACCTCTTACTTTCATTTCTGGTTTGAACAGCCATATGGTCTGATGCTCTGAGAACTTTCTTCACTCAACACAAGTGCTTTGGTAGCTCTTGATTTGTACACTGATGTGGTATTTTCCCAGAGGTTATCGTGGGGCTCTGGGAGAGCTAACTAAACGCACAGTGTCCTACACCCATCTGAGACTTTAATCAGTACTGCTTAATAGCCTGGAGATCAACACCATTTAAACCCTATTCTTTCTCCCACTCTCTTACAAAAATCCTAATCCTAGTAAAAAATCTCTTGATTAGTTTTAGCCAAACCACACTGCTGCAACAACAGCTGACTGCAAATGGCTGGAAAAGCTTCCAAGTACAGTAACTTTAAATGACCATAAAGATCATCAGACTAAAATGAAAGTACAAGGTAAATCTGCAAGCACAGGAGTCCATTTTCCAAGCAACTGAGGAAAGTACGCTATGTATCAGACACAAAAATAAGCCCAGAATGTGTACTCCAGCACAATTCTACTTTGAGTTATCCAGTGAAAGTATATCCTGTACAGGATCTGACTGGCAATCCTGCCTTCTCCTCTCTACATGTAGCAGGGCTACGCAGAAACAGCTTTACTCAGAGAATTTTGATCTCTCTGCCAATATGTTTGCATTCAAAATAGAGAAACATTTTAAAATTTATGCAGTCAGTACAAAAGTGGTTTAGTAATGTTAACTATTGGCATCATAGGTAATACAGTTCTTTATCCAGAAAAGATCACTTTATCCAAGCAAAAGGATAAGTGGTATTAAAGCATGGCATTTAATGAGCAAGGGAGTTGATTTTCTCTTTCCACGAGTAGAACAATGCTGTAAGAACCAAATTTTACCCTTGTGCAAATTTGAGAGTTCTGTTGACTTAAACGAGATTTGCAGGCAAATGCCCACGTCATTACATTTTTGGCAAAAGTAAAATAAGAGCTTTCATGGAAAAATCTGCTTTTCACCAAAATGTGTATAACTTACTTTAGAAAAAATACATAAGTATATTGCAAATTAATAGCAACTGTACTTTGCTTTGCTCCGTGTATTAGAAAAGGCTGTATCAAACTGCCTGGGCAGCTGTGTAGAAGTCAGAAGGTGAAAATACTGATATAGGTGGTGCATGCGGGAGTCCTCTTAAATTATTTAAGACACAAATATCTAATGGCTTTAAAACCTGTTGTCTCAGAATCTAGCTTGACAAGGAGATCTTGCCATCAACTTTTTCTCATTAAGAGCTGTGAAATGTGCATGTTTACCCTACTGCTTTTGATAGAGGTTTGAATATACCTCTGACTGCAATTTAGAACAATGTAATTTAAGAAGCTAAATGATTAAGAAAAATGTTTAAAATAAATATATTTGGGACAAGTTGGTATGGTGTTTAAATGACATCACATGGGAATTGCTCAAAGATCTGGAACACCTGAAATACTATTTTAGAAGATGGAAGTGTGAGCAGATTGAGCATCTGCTAAATGCACTTTTACCTATGATCATGCAGACTTAGGGTATTATTACTGCATATATAACAGACATCTAACATATGTATCTACCCATGAAAAGAATGGAAGATCAATTGCTGTAAAGACAGGCATGCCTCAAACTACTGAAGAGGTAAAAAAGAAAGCTAATTTCAGAAAATTTTAATTAAAAGGTTAAAATAAAAATACATACTTCAAGTATTTTTAAGATATTGGTATCATAACTATTAGTCTAAATATAAAATCCATAAGCCAGACTAATGTGCTCTTAGTAAATGGGCAGAGAGAAACAGTGTTGTGCATACATGTGTATATGCATGTGCTGCTTTTTCTTGGCAGTAGCAGCAATATAGATTTTATCTTATTTAAATGTAAAATTTTATCTTTTGGCATGAACAGAGTGATTCAAATACTGGACTGGTTATAACCTGGAGAGCTTTTTCCTCCTCTATGTTTCACTGAATTTTCTTGCAGAGAAAATTTCCTCTTACCCAAGGACAATTAGTTAATTTCTTCCTGAAAAAAACAAATCCTAATGCACAGTAAAAAAAAATCACAAATTAGAGAGAACCATTATTATTATACTTTCTGGAGATGGACTAGTGTGAGAGTAGGGTGATTTCTTTTGACTGAGTTAGTAACAGGGAAAAGTATTCAGCTGGAAAAAAAAGGCGGCTGATCTTATTTTCATAGATGGTAAATGTACATTCATTTTACTGTACAGCTTTTCAAAGACCACTTACTTTGCATTTTTGTCATTTTATTGCAGAACAGAGATAGGAAGCAGAGTGCTACATTCAGATCTATCCCCATTAAAGAACATTGCTCATTGACACCGTTAGATACAGTGTTTACCTTTACTCTGTAAGTGGCTGGACCACCAAAGTGGTGCTCAAATGCAGACTCACATGATCAGTGTTTCTGGGTACTTTTTGCTTTTTTTGTACATAGTTTCGAATCATCATAATCTGTACATGTTTTTCTCTATTTGCCTATCATAGTGTAACCTAACGATCAAGGGCTCTAAACACAGAATGGAAACGTTTCTACGATGTTGCTCCTTGCATACCTTCCTGGTATTCTGATGCAATGACCTTTGCATCTAGCGGGCTCAAAAAAATGAACACTGAATTTTTGAATCTTTAATATTCGCTTTTACTCTCTTGTCACAAGCTTCTGAGAATAGCAAATGCTGCCTTATTACTAAGTACTCTGTAAAATCTGACCCAAATCCCTACCTTTTTTACTTATACATCTGGAATTTCAGATACAAAAATAACAATGTCATGAATGTGGTTGAAGAAAGACAGAACAAAGAAAATCGGTATAAAAATCCTTTGTGTTTCCTCACCTGCCACTACAAAAGGAATTAAACCTGATAACTTAAAACTCAAACAGTATTTTAAATATTTACATCAATGAAGTCTAACAAGATAATCACTTAAAACACCATAAGAATGTTCATCTAGGTGCTGACTAGCATGGGTTGGACATGGCAGCAAGATGAGACAGTGCTTTGCAAATACATCTGATTTTCTGAGCCAGCTTTGCTTGCCAGACACGTGCATATAAAGTAAAAGCCAGAAAGAGAAAAGCAGATCTATGATTATGCCTATGTACCCCCAAGAGCCTGAGATGGCACACAAAATACGGTGCAGTTGTACCTTTCCATGACCAGCCTGACGACGAGTGCTACAGCAGAGACAGGAGCAGGTTCCCATACACACACACCAGGGAGAGGAAGCCTGTGGGACACCACGGCTTGTGCAAACCCATGCTTTGCAAGACTGGTTTACCAATAACATAAAAAACCTTCCAGTGTGCCTCTCCTATCTGTCCTCCTTCCCCAGCCCTCCCATGCCCTTCCACACTTTCCCAAAAATTAAACTGAACTAGGTAAAGGCTTTAAGTGACTGGGCTCGGCTCACGACTGGAAATTACCAAACCTGTAGCTTCCTGGGTTAATTACAAGATTGTACCCCTTGGTGAGGCCTTAGTCTCTGCACTCTGAACAGCTGAACTGCAGCTGGAGTGATTTACAGCCTGGGAAGATCAGCCCGACAGCCCAGAGCTGCCGCAGAGCATTGCTAAACGACCACCTTTCTTCCTGTTGTTCCCAGCACCCTGTGAGCTCTTTTTGGTGGTGTGAGCTTCAGGAGAGCTCCCTTTTCAAATGTTATGAAAATAAAAGACAATGCTTGGAAAGAAAATTAGATTTGTACTCCTGGCGCAGCTTTAAGGGGTAACATTACTTTTTTTAAAAAAAGCTTAGGAATTACTTAGTCACTTGTTAGAGAAATCTGACTGGAAGTTTATGAAACTGAGTGAAGTGATGCAATCCTCATGAGTGGTCCAGCAACACCAAGGGGCTATAACTGCACCTGACACTGAAGGCCAACCTTGCACTCTGCAAAGAAAACATCATGTCACAAACAGGTGTTCTGGGCTTTTGGCAGCAATGGGACATTGATGGCTTGGATCGTGCTTGAAATGTCTCTGAACTTCATCTCTGAAGCCTCAATCACATGAGCAGTCAAGTAGCACAGGCCTTGGGGACTGGGGAGTTACAGGAGGCCAGAAAATACACTAGCTCATTAGTACTCATCATAATTGTTGAAATCTGTAAAATAGGTATTAGAATAAGTTTTTGCAGTAAGATGTGGATTGAAGTATTTGTTTCTTTCCTCCAGAATCAGGTTGTTTTTGTTAAATGCCTGGGGAAAAAAAAAAAAGAAAAGAAAGAGATAAGAAAATGAGAACAAAAGAAAGGCAGCCACTAAGTGCTCTTGCACCAATGCAATTTTTGTGGGAAATATCTGTGTATAGTAAGTCAGTCCAAAGTGCATTGAGAAATACCTGCACATTTACAAAACCTGTATCTGCTTAGATAATAACATTCCTATAAAAAGAATGCTACTCAATAAAGTAAAGCCAGGCACTTTTCCACAAATATTATCAAACTAATTTTATGATTAACAATAATTTTAAATCATACATATTCAGTTCTTCCTACAAGAATGATTCACTCATTATCTCTTTACTGAATAAGAATTATTTTCTCTTTAGTGCCTTAATTCCTTGACTCTCAAATGCAGTATGTAGGAGAAATATCAGAAAGTCTTAAAAGTGGAAATCCTGGGTTGTTTCTTAAAAAGTGATATGGGTACTTAGAGTATGAATTTTCAAAGCGTAGGTTTTTTTTGTTTCTGTACCTATCCAGGGAGATGACTAGTGGAATTTGAAAAAGCTTTAAATTAGGTACATACTCCACCACTGACTACAAAATCTATACTTTTCTTGGTTTTTTTTTAAATGAAATTCTTTTAAATCACTTTAATTAAAATGAAAAATGCAGAAATTAAAAACTGGATTATCCAGGTAGGATTTAAGAAAAATCCTCATTTACAAAAAACTTTGCAGCTGCATAAATACACTGTGTAATAGGAAGATACTGAACGAGGGATTTTCAGAATGCTTATCCTTCTTTAATTCAGTGGATTTGAAAAGCAGAGCTATTGTAAAATGTTATAAGAAGAAAATGGCGGTTTGGAAACAATGATCACATGATATGGATAGCATGCCACACTCTTAGCTAATGTAAAGCTGTACTGATCATTTACAGAATATTTTGTATAGGAACACTATCTGAGAGTCTGATCTGGAATACATTCCCCAGATACATCTCCTGTATAAAGATATGGTGTGGGAAGATGAACAGCACCCTTGACACTGTATCACTGGGGTCAAAGGATTATCTTCAGTATATGTCATGATGATTGTTAATGGCCCTATTTACCTCTTGAACAAGCCACTAGGGAACACAATTAGGAAAAAAAACGAACCAACCCATAAAACAAAACTTGAGTGGTCTGTTTGTTGTTTTTTTTTTCCAGGAGAGGCTGCTGCTGTATAAATTATGCATACACACAAAATGTAACTTCTTGTGTAATAGGGATTGACAAAGGAAAGGATCTGTAATTAGAATACTTCAAGTGAAATCTATTTTTTGTCATTAACAATCAGCCTAATTTGAGTCCAAATGTCACTTCAGAAAATTAGCAAGTAGAATTCTTTTGATACAGTACAAGTGTCATCTAGGACCATACACGCTGTCCTTTATAGAGCTCCCAACCCACTTCTCACCTTGATGGCTTCTACAGAATCATATTTGTCCAGTTTGTTGATATGGTTGGTAATGCTGGTATTTAGAGGAGCGGGTGACACTGGGTGGATGACAGTTGCATCATGGGACTGTTGTTGATATCGTTGGCAATAAGTGTAAACAAGCAGAGTAAGAAGGCAACCAAGTATTGAGCTACTTAATCCCACAGCGATCATGTGGAACATGTTGAACTCTGTAGAGTGGAGAGCAGAAAACAATCTTATTTTTAAGAAAGTAGCAATAAAAGCTTAAGCTTGAGGAAAAATGCAGAAAAGTGCTTGATTCAAGTAAGGATAAGGGAAATTTCATGTGTTTCCCAGAAACATCTCAACTGCAATGACTTATCTCTACAGTAGTAAATGCATTGTACTTCCCTGAAGGGATCATTATAAGAATCTTAAATACCCATACATCTCTCTAAGTAATAAGACTGAGATTTTTGAAAGATGCTTAGACAAGTTCAGAACCCAAATAATAGATAAATGAATTGCATTTTGTATGTTTGAATAGTCAGCAAAATTTTTCTTCAAATTGTATAACAAAGCCTTGTTATATATAAATTATGTATACTATGTACATACATAGCTTTTTTTAGTGAACTACAGTATCACCTCCTCTGCTGTTCTTCTAGTTCTTCTCCTACACACAATTACTTGTGACAGAACTAATAAAATCCTGGTATCTTTGAATCACAATTCTGCTTTTCCTAACATGTTTTCCATATCCCCTTTATTTGGTGCATGCCCCAGAAGCAGTGGTGTATGCTTTTTCCATCCCCTGGTTTGATTCTTGCTGAGTCTCACTGTTTCTGTATCTTTGATATGTGTCAAATTTGTTCCCTTCTCCAGCCTTCAGAAATTTTTTCTGTATGTAAGGGGGGATTGAAGAAGAAATGACAGTATTTTAGGGGAAAACAGGAAGAGAGGAGAGAGACAGACACTCCTTAAAGCTCAGTGTGCTTTTAACCATAGCAGTCAGAGTGTAAAGTCAACAAGTCAGAACCTAGCTCTCTCCTGTCTGCTCTGTCCTTCAAAAATAGTCTGGCATCAGACGATAGGAAACCACCTACACAAGGATTAAAACAGAGAGGAAGCTCACTGCTGCGTGAAACTGCAGAAGGGAATCTAGAGCAGTCACCTCCTGATGCTACTGAACAGATGTAGCAAGTCAGATGTGGCACCAGTAGGATTAGCTGGAAATAAACAAGCTCCACTGCTTTTCATTGTTATTTCAAACTGGAACTGTGCTTTTTGATGAGGAAAGAAGTATCAGTGAGAAGCTCACATTGGAAATTTCATCTTAATGTTACTGAAGATTTGTTTGTGGTTGCCTAAATGCACAAATGAAAGATTTTAAACTGAAAGACTGGCCCTAGTCTGAAAAACGCCTGTTAGAACATTTCTAGTTGATATGGAAAAATGGGCCAGCACATGGGTCCCATTTTTTTGCATGTCCCTAAAGTAGGACATTTACATGCCTACTGGGTATTTAGAAATACAAGCTAATATTTAGGTGACTAGGTTTACTGCCCCAACATATAAATTATCACCGAAATAGCCTACTATGCTTTTATGAGAGTTTCCCACTGTTGCAGAAGTTGGCAAAATGTTTCCAGAGTACCACTGTTAATTAGAAAAAAGTTGAATCACAGTATCCTGGTTCCCATAACAAGTTACCATGCACACTGGTACCCTTGCATAACCACTGTGTTTTCATTATCCCTTATTAGGTTAAAAATGCAGCTTATCTGTACATGGAAGAATACTAGAACTGGCCTGAGCTATTACCATGACGACACAGTCTAAGCGTGATGGCTCAGCACAAAAAATGGTCATTTTTCCTTTTTATCTTTCTTCTTCTTCTTGTTTGCTTTTTTCAACAGCTTTCTCTTTCAAGATTGGTTTTGCTAGCATCAAGATTCTCTGGAACGGGACTTTTTTTTTTTTTACTTTTTGGTTTTGTCTTTCACAGCAAAGCTGGAAATTAGTCCCAGATACAGTCTGATCTATTAAATGGGTTAGCAGGCTGGCTTTCTACTATTCATTTGGAGTCCCAAAGAGGTTTATGAAATTACTATCCTGAAAAAGGTAGAGCAACTTTACAAATTTTAGCTTACTGATAACTAGCTTAAAATAGGAATTTCTTTTTGAGACAAGGGTTACTGCTGTACTGAAAAAGAAGAAAATACAAATATCCAGCAATACATGTTCCTGTTTCAAAGAGGCAGATTGGTATTTAATGAGAAATCCTGTAGTAACTACATCTCTTTTTCTGCACTAGTGCAAATAATGAGAATGTGGCATTTAGAAGGTAGAATAAAACTAAGTGCAAAAGGTGAAACAAAAGGAAAACATGGGGAATCAATATTTCAGCATTTAATACACATTTAGAGCTGAAAAGCTTACCGCCACATCGTTTTTCTTCTATGCTGCTGGATCGTGCCACTGATATTTCTAGAAAAACAAATAAACTGTTTACGCCAAAGAGAAAAAATATTACATAAAACTACTAGCCTCATTAACACAGTAAGGATTAAAAAATTATTCTACTGCATTCACTCCAAATTCAAAGTAAAAAAGACTTTGACTATGTGGTGTAAGTAACCAAAAGGTCCAAGGACATCTTTAGGTTCCTTAGTTTCCCAAACAAAAGCAGAAACATATTTTCAATTCTTGTCTCAAAATATCTCTGCAATTAAAAACACAAAATGGGCATGAAAACGTTCTTTCTGGACTCTAAGCACGCTGAGAAAGCATTGCTTTTCTGGATAGGAAAATTTATGAGAGTTTAATTATCTTGTGTTCAAATAGGCTTATTGCTTCTAGAAGTCACATCTAGCACTAATGTGAAAAGAGAAAATTTACAAATCTTCAAAAAGACGACTGCCAATTTCACAGGTCTCAACTGTAAAATGTCATTTCAGCCTGTATCCTTACCAGTGTGACTTTAGAAGCATTCTGAATAAATACTGAATAAATGTCTGTTGGTAATCAACTTTTCCCACTTCTTATTTCAGGACCATGGCTTCTGTGGAGGAAAGCCCTGCCTTACAAATCTCTTGAAACAATCTGAAAGAGTCAATGACATATCGATACTGGGCAGGTGGGGGTAACTGACACAGTTTACCTGGATTTCAAAAAAGTTTTTAAGTTCCTTGCCAAAGGTTTTCTAAGCAACAAAGTAGATACAGGAGATGAGGAAAAAGACAGAAAACAGGGTAGGACTGCGGGCCCAGTTCTCACAATGGAGGACCTAGGTTTTGCAGTGAAGAGATAGAAAAGCAGGAGGAAAACTGTGTTTTTGAAGTTTGTTGATGACACCAAGTTAAGGTAGTATGGACAAGGGCATGCTGTAAAGAGCTGCAGAAGGATGTTACAAAACTAGGCAATAAAATATCAAATGAAACGGAATGTAGATCAGTGTGAAGTGAAACATACAGTGGAAACCAATCCTAGTTTCACATATAAAATGATGGCCTGTGAGCTGACCATCACCATGAGTGAGACTGGGGATTTATGACAAATTGTTCCATGAAAACATCAGCTTAGAGTTCAGAAGCAATCAAAAAAGTAAAACAAATGCTAAGTACTACCACAAAAACAATAGTGAATAGGACAGGATGTCAGCATTATGGTTCTTTACAAATCCATGTGTTGTACACACCATGAACCCTGTCTGCAGCTCTGGTTTTCCCACTTAAGGGTATCTTTAGTAGAACTAAAAACAGACCAGAGAAGGGCAGCAGTGATGTTCACAAGGATGCAGTAGCTTCCGTATGAAGAATTAAGAGAGTAGGCTTTCCACCGCCAAAAGATGATCCACGTGCAGCTTCTGCTAAAGGGATCACAATTTTTCACCCAAATCAATACTATTTGAAAAATGAGAAAGTATCAGACATGTCATAACAGCACTCTTGCAGAGAGTTAAAGACTGAGAGCATACTTTGTCCGGTTGAGATCATTAATTCACAACCCAAACAAAAAGCAAAAGAAAGTGTACCAGACAACCAGAAAGCTCTGCAAGGTAATGTTGGTAAGGACTAACTCTGGAAACACAGCAGCAGCAGTGATGAGGAGTCATTTTTGCACTCTGCCAGAATCACTCTATATACTAATTTCTGCAGAGGAGCACAGCTAAGGTAAGCGGGAGGAGACAACATGAGCATGGACACACCAGCACTCTATGGAGGAAATGAGGGAGAAGAATTAGAAAAGGAAGAAAGGTTGGGAGGAAGGGAACTCTGAGTTGGAGGACCTGGAGAAGTGAATGCAAGCTGAGCAAACGCAAGAACGTAAGCTAGTTTGCCTAAGGTGAGCATAACAAGCATGTCCTTGTCTGCTGTGAGATGGATAATTTGAGGAGGAATGGCTGACAAACCAAAGTGGTGGCTCGTTTCAGAGTCTGAAACCATCTGCTTTATAAAACAAGATGTAGAGCTTATATTGGATTAAGCAGGGAATTCACAGAAAATGAATATCAATGGAGCTGCTTCTGTAGTGTGAAAAAAAGGGGAAAATAGAATGTGGGAGTTTTTGCTTTCACACTGATATTTTTCACATAGGTTTTGGAGGAAAAAATAGTATTTGAGAGCATTTTAAAGCATTATGCACCATCCACAAAAACAGTGCTTAAATGTTTATTTCTTTGTTATATTGTACTATACTATACTATACCACATAGTTACAGGAAAAAAAAGGTTGCTGCACTGAATAAATGTAATTTCATTTCAAATTATATATTCAAATGTAAATTTCTCTGCTTGTGAATAGACTGCTAGCTTTTTTTAATGTACACAGGTGGAAGGATGACTGCTAACAGCAGTGCAATGTGGCCACCCATACTGTTGCGTGGATTTAAATGACTGCTGTGATTAAAAAAAAAGAAAAAATGAAAAAGAAAAGAGTACAACCATAAGTTTTGACAGATGCTATAGAATAATACATAGCATTACTATCCACCAGGTACTTGGTAGTCATGGAGGAGATAAAGACCCAAGGCACAGTTAATAGTATTTACCTTTCTAAGCAGTTATTCTCTTAAGAGACTCTGTGAAATGATTTCCAGATTAAAACTACCACAGCACCCACTTCTGTACATGCAGACCACAAAACCTAGAGGAATGTTTCTCTAAGAACCCCCAAGTCTCAAAAAACACTCACATTCAAGTAAAAAGCAAATGATTTCCTCTAGTTACGTGTACCCATCCCTGTACCCTGCTACTAAGTAGGATAGAAGAGACCTGCAGCATGCTGTGACAGAAACTAACCAAAGTCTCAGGCAGTGACAGGAGGGACAGCTCCATAGCACTCAGTGCCATGAGGCAGATTTTCATGAAGACTCCAGGTCCACCAACGTCGTCTCTCCATAGCAGACCAACACGCTTTGGCTGACAAAAGGCAAGTCCTGTACCAGCCCTCAGCTCTGCACAGTGCAGTCTGGGACAGCACTGCGCCTCACTCCTGAAATGCTGAGAGATTTCACCAGCCCTTCACGGAGCAGGCTGATCTCACCTGGTATAACATTGGAGTCCAAAGCACAGGCTCGGCTCTCCGTTGTGTTGCCCGTGCACTGGCTGCCCACGGGAAACAAAATGATGCACTGACGAACACGGAACTGGAGGCCGGACGAGTCACACTCGGACCACTCAGACCACTCAGACCAGCTGTCTGCAACAGGCAGAGAAGGACACACATGCAGATGCTGCAATTAAGTATTTCAAGTACACTGAGTGAGAAAGAAATAGCCTCAATAGTGTTTCTGAATTATGACAGAAGGCCTCATCCCCAGCTACCACCAGCTAGCAGAGGACAGCTCTTTCATTATGCTAAAACAAAGGCAGTTCAGTTTTGGCTAAAGTCTCTGAAATGTAGAGTGTTATGGTAAATTTGTCACAGATGTATTATGGCATCAGCTTCTGCCACAGCCTTTGTGTGTGGAAGTGAGGAACTGGAGGGATTCTGCAGTGGTGATTGAAAGAGTGATTGCCATGTAGTTAATTCCAGTCTACGTTGCTAGGGTGGACAGTGACACTGTCTTTTTCTTATGTACCTGACAAGTAGCAATGACAGCTATAAGACTATGTATTCCAGGTGTGAAACAGGATGTTTATTTAACCACAAAAATAGTCGTATCTTGCAGATACATTTTTCTTTTTTTTTTTTTAGCTTTTTTATTTCTTTGCTGCAGATAGAAGAGATCTCCTCAAGTATTCTCACATTCCCTTCCCCATTTGGTTCATTATCAGCTTCTATTTTTTTTCTGTATTTCTTCCTCGCCCTATGTAGTTTTGATTAAGACATATTTTATTTCATGCCTGTGTGATCTCAGAATATTTCCCTTAAATGAAGTGATTTCATCTCATTCCCATGAGGTGCTGTGAGTTTACTGAGCTCAGCTTTCTTAAAATTCAAGCACAAATCTTGCCTTCATAGCATTCTTCTGAGTTTGGCATATATAGTAAATGACAGAGCTCAGTTAAACATTTTTCTTTTTTTGTTGGCTTCCTCACTGAGATATGTTTCATGGATTTTACATGCATTAAATTGTCCTAGTATGCCAAACCCAGTCTTTTTCTAGTTCAAACTTTTAATTCAATTAAATTTTATGTCACTATGAAACAAATTTACAAATTTCATTTTGCTTCAAATAAAACAGTATATACTAACCTATTTTTGTTTCAAGTTAGACTGAAAAACATCATTAAGATTTGTGAATAAGTTGGAAAATTCATGAAAGTTTTGCACACTTTTTGTGAATCAGGTGGGAAGCCAGGAAGTCTTGCACTGTTTAAGACCTTTCCATGTAGGCAACACAGGGCATCTCGAGTCCCTCGGTGCAGCCCAGGCACTATGGCACAGGTAGTCAGAGCTGCTGATCAGCTCTGTCCAGCACACAGAATCACAGTGCAAATGTGAGAGAAAGGGACATCTCTGCAATGGTGGATCCTGTTACCAAACATGTCTTTGGAGGACTGTCGCTGTTGGAAGCTCAGAGAGTCACACAGAAGTGACGCAACCAAGACTGACAGATGTAATATTTCAAATTGGCAGACTTGCCCTTTGTGGAGCCACTATCTCTGCCATCACAGAGATGCTGAAACCATAGCTTTTGCATACACTTCTACAGCCTCAGTTATCCTGCCTCATCCCTTTGATTTCTTTATCTTCAAAGTATCTGAGGCTCTCTTGTACCTCAGGCAGGCTCCTCTCAACTTGCTCCTCAGTTCTTTGCAAAATTTACAAGGATGAAAAAGAGAGATTGGACTGAAAAGGTGTTTAATACGGAACTGCTCTTCACCTCTAGCACAGCAAGGCTTACTCAGATGTCATGTCTTCTTCCTACAGAGACTTGGTTGGCCTTTGAAGTCAGGTTAAGACCAAGCAGCTCCTGAAACATCCCTTGGTGAAGAAGGCACCTCAGAAAGATCAGGCCACCATTCTGTAAGATTATAAATTCCTATCATGCAGAACTACACCATTATTTATAAATGCTCAACTGCTTTATCCATTATTTGCATGTGTGAGTTAGCAATTCAAGGGCAGAATATATTTTCCCCTTTTACAGCAGCAGTAAATACTTTAGGTACAAAATACTGCTTTATTCAGTACATTACAGACACTGTTGCAACCGATTACACTTAATAATAAACAGCCCATAAACCACTACTGATCAATAGTGCAGTGCTTCCATTCATATTAAGGTGATTGCATTTGGATAAGTTAAAAGAAAAAACATAGACACAGTGATATAGCTTTAAAAATGAAAGATGAGAAAAACTGATGTTTAAGTGCATACTTGAATACTTTCAGTTGGATTTGCCATTAGCACTCCATATCCTCAATAAATTCTTACCATCAGGATTTCAGAAATTCTAGTTTTCTGCTAGTTTTATTTGCGGGGGGAGGGGGGGAGAGTACTCTTTCAAATGCCTATAAATCTTTACTCTTTTCACAACTTAAGAAATGTTATAAATAATTTCAATTTTTACATATGCATTTCTATGCTGGATGTTTGTTCTTAAATTCTAAGTGTCACTAGTATTCCCTTCCTATATTAAACATGTCACTCAAGCTGTACCTGTCATCAATGGTACTTCCAAATCTGTACAAGGAGGAACCACTGGCCACATGACCCTCACCACAAGAAAATGGCTCTGACAGGATGCAGGAGTCTATCCAAACTTGACAAGTGTAGCACTGTCGTTATTTTTATCCCATACCAAATGTGAAATAAGAGCAGTAAATAAAAAGTTGTGAAATCTACATCGTAAACATGAGGCAAGGGCCATTCTCGCATCTAGTTGACGATGTGCTGTTTCAAAAACCTATGGCAAAATTTCAGTGAGATTGAAATATTAATAAAACATCACAGAATGTGAGAAATACACTTCACCCTCTGAAACTTTATTGCTTTATAAAAGTTTTCACTTTCTTGAATCGAAATGAAACCAACCTCCTCCTCCAGCCTCACATCTTCTCCAAAATTTGGGAAATAAGCAGGTCAAAATAAGATGAAGAGATTATCTACAACTGTTAGCAAACTGTCCTTTCCAGAAAAATGGCAGTAGAAAATAAATGTGTAACGAGAGAAACAGCTGCAATGCTAGCACAATGAACACACCAGTTCTGACCTTTTAAAGATACCTTAAGGATCCCAAAGTGGCCATGTAACCTCTACATACAAATATACACTATTTGTCTTCAAAAATCAAATAAACTGATTTCTAACTTTTTTTTAAAAACAGTACAGAGTGTTACATCCGCTTTAATTTTGACAAAGTAGGTACTTTCATTCTGCTGCAAGACATGCAGTGCCTAGGAAAGGAAATTAAATTAAATTGTAGTTCAGCACAGGTAATAGGATCCACAAATTCAAACTTGCGGGGCTACTGCCTTCACATGCACAGCCTCATCATACGAGCAGAAACCTTTTACTATGCAGTCTAGAAGCTCTCAGTGAAGCAAGTAATACAATGTGGCTTCAAGGCTGCTTAGTTCCTTTTGCTGTTGCCTGTAATCCATTATTCAGCAATAAGTGAAAACAAATTTTCCCACTGACTTTTCACTAAAGATTTTAGCTAGGTTTGTATGGTTTTTACTCTCTACTTTTCACTTAAATATAATGAAAAAAGTCTCCGTTAATATAGGGCAAAAGGCAGAGTCAAAGTTAAAGTAATGATCCATAATATCCTACAACAAGCAGGATTGCTGAGACTTTTCATTTACTAAGTACTCCACAGTCATTTAAAAAGATGAAGTCTCTGCTCCTTAACATTCAGTATTGAAGAAGGTATTTTACAAAGAGCATTAAGGTTTGCTTTGTGCTTTATATGAAACCAGGGCAAACATTATCTACTTGAAAGGTCTTGTGATAACACATATTGTTGAATATTAACCTCAGCAATTTGCTTGCTGTGAATGTTTAATATTGTAACAAATGCACTTCTTTATGATATTGTTATTAAAAGTGTCGCAGACTGTTTGCATGCTCCACTTCAAGTATTATACAATTTTAGTTTATCCAGACCCGGAACCTGATAACTTAAATTTTAATTTTTAAAGGTGGAGGGCGGAGGTGGTGTCCTGTAGGCTATATGCTGCTATTACTTGATTTACTGTGACTTGTAGCATGTAGAAACATGCACTTAATAAGGGAGAGAAATTATTTGCTCCTAAATAATAGATCAAGGTGCATTATGTTGCCTAACTGTGAATGCCTTATTCTGTGGACCACTGATTTACCATACCTGGACACGGCTGTGTGTTGCAGAGTGCTTCTTCAGTGTGCAGTCCAAGGCAGATGTCTCCTCCATATGCTGGTGCTGGATTTGTACAGGAGCGAGTTCTCATGTAATGCCCTCCTCCACAAGTTGCTGAGCACTTTGACCAAGATGACCAACAAGACCAGCCTCCATCCACTGAAAAGACACAAAATATCATATTGTTCCAAGTTCACGTGTGACATGACAAAATCTAACTCATCTTTCTCATATTCTGTGGATCTAATTCATGGCCTACTTAAATTATTGGACATTTTTAGATGCCACTGATCATAGGTCCACAAACTTAATCATACCACCAGGCAATTTAACTTAGATATTTTAAAAGATCCTGGTATACTGGGAAGTCTAACAGAGTTATGTATACACGTAAGACACTTTCAGAGGGTACCGTAATAGCTTTAAGGCCAAAACTCTTTTTCTTTTTCTTTCTCTTTTCTTTTCTTGCATGTGAGGGAAAAAAATAAAGCTTGTTTAGCAGAACTATTATAAGCTTGAAGTACATTTTTATTTATAAAATAAAATTTTGACCAATAATATCATCAGAGATTGAGGAATCCAGATTTTGTTTTGCAATCCAGGTGAGATTGCCTTAACCCTACAACCCACTTCAACTGATCTAACACATTTGTAGGGTTTGATGGGCCAAAATAATATTACAATCTTAATGCAGGTCTAGCATAGATTCCAGCAGCAGAACAATGGCAGCAGTTCAAAAAAGCAACAGACACATGACAAAAAGGAGTTGCTGCTTAAAGTTTCAAACAAATTTTTTTACCAAATATTTTTTTCCTCCTGATCACTACTTACCGATTCGAGTTTGTCAAACTGTTCTCCAGTCCAAGTTTTCACTAGGTTTCCCTGAAACATAGGCTGGCTTTCACAGGAGCCCCATTTGTCAGATGGCTTTTGACACATGGCCACTAGACAGGCTTTTAATGAAAATTCACCTCATTGCCTGCATGAGACTGGCTCCTTTGTAGCCTCTGTTCTTAAAATTACTGCTTCAGGATGTATTTCTGGCATTTATGGCCATATTGCAGCCCATCTGCCAAAGGTTTCCTATCTGTAGCCACATGACAAAGTCAGATGTATTTCTCCCAGGGACAGCACTCTCTCTGCAAAGAATCTCAGTATTTTGTCCATTTCTCTTTCAATTTTTTTGTCAGATAAAAGCAACAAAAACCTAAACTTTCAGAATTCTCATATCCTACCAAAAAAAAAAAATTAAAACCTCTATTTAAAGAGTTATCACTTGCTTTCTTAATGTTTAAGTAAGGAAATGATTTACCATGTCTGCAACTGATTAAAAGTGAGTGCGTGTAATGCAACCAACACTAATAGATGAGACCCTAAGTATAATAAAGGCAATGTGCCAGCAAAGTTTTTTCTTATGACTCAGCCCTAAACCAAGCAGAAGTTTCACGTTTTTTTTTCTCCCATCACTCACAGCAGTAGTGGACATTTTACCCCACAAAACAGAAAGTCATTATTCCCTACTTTTAAAAATACTAGGCAAGCACACATTTTCTGTTCAGTTTTTATAGTGCGCTCATTTAAGATGTCTTGCAAGACTATACTTTATCGCTTGTTGAAACGATTGTCACTGAAATCTCCATAACATTCATCTAGCATTTCACAATGACTTCTTTTGACCCTTTCTGTTCAATTAATCAAACAGCCTTTCAAGGATTAAACCAGTTTCCACTGGTTTATTGAAATGTTATTCCATAATTATCTCTTACCAACAAAAGGAGGTTCCAAATCTGAAAAAAAAACTTACAATGAAAATATCTGTGCAGTATTTACATTTAAATTTTCTCCTAGATGGACACAGAAAACATTTAAAAATGCTCATTTTGTTTTGGTAGCATTGTATAATACAAATGCACTTGGTAAGTCGAGTAGAATAATTTCTACACAAAGGCTGCAACAGTGAGAAAATGAGCTATGAGAATGTGGTTATTTTGATATTAAAATCTATACGTGCATTTTTGAATGTAATTTCAGATACAGCTTACCCTCAGGTTCTCAACTGCTAATCAAACAGGTAATTCAGTAGTGTATACCTAAGGCTATTAACTAATCCTGTAAGTGAATCTGTTGAATATGTAACATTTTATTCTCTGTATTATTTGCAAGTTCATCCTATAAATCAAGAAAGCATGGAGTTGGCACTTCTTTTCTGAGACAAATAATTATAAAAACTTTTGCAAACTATGTGTCAGAAAGGATTTGTGGAATCTGTTACTATATTCCAAGGATGTAATTCACATAAATGATTTCCATTACTAAGGAATTTAATGATTTTTACATTATTTTCCAGGTTGAATTTCTCAACCAAATCATCTAGCTGTACAGATGCATGAGAGAGTTTTATACCACCTATCATGGATAAAATACTGCATCTCGGTAGAGTGCTTGACATGTTCTCTTATTCATACGGTCACTGGAAAACAAATATGTCTTTTTGCCTGAGATAACTCTGTTAATGTAGTATTATGCAAGCTCATATCTAAAAAAGCCACAGGTTATTTGTCTTCACTCCAGGTGAAATACAATGTGCAATTCTATAACAATTTCAAAACATGCTATCTTTTATTCCGAACTTGCTTTTTTTTTAATTATGTCAAAAAAAAAGGAGAAGCTGTTCCCTAAGCTATTCATTTCACACTATATTAAGGCTCTACCTTTCCAGATACTCCCTCTTTTTTTTTTTCTTTTTTTAATTTAAAATGATCCTTGACTAGTTCAAATGAATAACCAGAGACATTTCTGCTGCAGTGTATAGACCACCACGAAACAGAATGACAGCCTGAGATTGCCTGTACAAAAGATAAATTGCCTGCAAACATTACTTGTGGCTTGTTCACTGTAATGGAGACAGTGACCTCCAACACTTTTTGCATTTGAAACTGCCACCTGCCATCTATCTATAGGTCAAGCACAGAGACCAATGTGACATCCAGGAATGTCACCATGTTCCACAAATGCAGTGATCATGGTTATACTATAAGCCTTTGGATGTAAAGGAAGAAGTGGATCTGGGGAAGATGGGAAATAACAGATATAATATAATAGACAACATTAGATTTTTATCACGGATGGTGTAAATATAACTATTTTTCTTAGCGACACTTTACTGACAGGATGCCATGCTAAATCTCTAGTCCTTTCAAGGACTATCATAACTACCTCTTTTATTTGTCCCCAGAACTTTTCCCTCTTAGCAACAGAGGATGATAAAGCATCATCGTGGTCAAATACGATCAAAGGAGTGGGTATTTACTGTTTGAGTTTTTACAAGACCTAAATAGAGCTCTGTGGTTTCTTTCATCTTTCTTTAAAGTTGCTTAGCAACACAGCACCATCTGGTTTTTTTTTTCTTTTATGTTTTCTTCCTTTTGTCATGCAGTCCTTAATGTTATTTTTGCTTCTTATAGGAGAAAAAATACACAGCTGCAAGGGAAGCTCCAGTCACTACAGTTTCTTTACATAACAGTTCTGTAGAGTTTTTGGACAAAAGAAAGTCGTTAAAGCAGTTCCACAATGAGAGATACAAATAATCTTTACGTTTTCTGACAATTACTGAGGTTGGTCCCTTTTGGAGGAAGACACCCTTCAGCTAGCAGGGTGCTCTCAAACAATGCTCTTTCCTTTATATGAGAGTAGAGCAAACAACATTTTGCCTACTGGCTGTTTTGGTTAATAAATATTTCTTCACTATAATAAAAAAAAAATCATAGGGAAGAGGATGCTCTAGGAAGAAACAGTGCAGAAACAGTGTCTCCCAGGGACATGATAAAACATTCACACTGCTGGAGACTTTCCAGGAGACAATTAAGTAAACTGGATACCCTGCTATGCACTTTGGGTTTTACAAGAAATGGAAGGAAGTGTGGGCAGACACACTGATCTCACCTGCTTTCATGAGAACACAGATAGGATAGAGGCCCTTTCATGTGCTGTCTGGACTTATTTCAAATTTAAACAACCCAAAAAATATATTCTTTGGGTTGGTTTTTTTTGTGTATGTCTTTAAGTTTATAAGTTTTCATGTTCATCCTTTTGAAAGTGTAGCAAAAGAATAAAAAATGCTGAGAGGTCAGTCTTTCTACATGCAAGAAGAAGTACAAATAGAGGGGCAGTAGTCCATTTTACCCACCAAAATGCAGACAGTGCACTTCCCAGTGGCTCAGTAAAAGTTAAATCTGGGGACACTGGATGTCTGGCAGCCTACAGATCTTGGAAAGTATTGCTCTCTTCCAGACACCTGGTGGGGTAATCCCATTCGACATCACTTAGTCTACTGCTTTTTCCTAATCCTGAGGGATATTACCGCATCTGTTTCAGTGTGGGAAAAAGTAAGTTTTACATCACAGTTTTCAAAGGCAAAGGTTTGTTTCTGTGATGCTACAGTTACCTTTTATTCATAAAAGCAATGCTGCAATGAAACAAACAGCACAGCGCAGTGCAGAAACACAGAAGGCAAACAAATGCTTCTAAGGAAAGCACAACAACAAAATCTAAGGATCAACCCAGGTTTAAGTCTGTAACTGAGACTCTCAAGTTAGAAAAGCAACAGTTGCTCCCAAAGGGCAGTTCAGGCCTCTCCTCACAGGCTACAGAAGCAACTTGGAGAGATCAATGCATGTGGAGAGATGGGCTGCAGCAGCCTCTGAGACAAGCTTTATTGCTGTCAGAGTAATGTTTTCACCTAGATTTAGGAAATTACTGCAGGATAAATTATGTTTGCTCCCTTAAATATATTCCTGTTTCCTTGTAGCCAAGTATGACTGCAAGAAAAAAAAAGCAATAATGAAAAAAGAATCCCAACAAGCAATAACTGGCTTTAGGGGATGTGTAAATAACTTAAACAGTCTTTCGGGGAGTTTTGTATATCTGAAACTCATTACTGCTATTAACACACTTAGTGGTATACAAATTTATGCAGTTCTTCTCAGCCAAAATGTCATGACTAAACCAAACTAAAACTACTACAATAAAGATTTGAAATTGGTAAAATATCAAAATATTGTCACTAAATATCAGAATTTCAAATCTAAGAAACAGCAACTGTCTTTTCCCTCCAATCTACCAATGGTCTGAGGAGAAGAGGGAATAGAAATTCAAGTAGC